ACGTTTATTATTAATATTTGGACCATATATGGTTTAATAACAAAAGTTCTCTTTTATAACGCCAAAAGAAACACATAATAGAAATTTGTTTCCAAAGATTGTATTGGTTGCACACTAATGTTTTTTTCTACAGCACTACATAATGTGTTCAGAAACATAAAATTGTATAGTATGTATAGGGCTTCCAAAAAAAAAAAAAAAAAAAAAATTAAATATTAGAATAGCAGAGCGAAGGAGAAAGAGAGGAAAAGAATTTTCTATATATTTTTACATATAAGAGTATTTCAGAAAACTCTAAATTTTTGAGGTCTTCATAAAAAAAAAAAAAAATATAGTATTTATATACTATATTTTTGGATATATTTTATTATATACAGATTATTACATTAAAACAATATGAAAAAAAGAACTGCCCCAGAATTATACATATGAACATAAAATAATTTATAGATTCTTCTTATAAACTATTTTATACACTATGCGAAAAGACACAATGAAATGTAAGTGCCTTAATTGAGGATTTCTTAATAAAATGTAATCATAAATTTGAAAACATAATGAATATAATGTAACAAAATGATAGCTAATAATAATATTCAAATTTGGAATGATATTTTGATTAATATTATTACTAATGAGAAAGAAAGCAATAGACTATTAATGCTTCTTTAACAAAAATGAAGAAGCAATTATGTCTTCATGTGATCATAATATCATTTTTCGTTTATAAGATACGTACGTATGTATATATATATATATATACATATATACACATACACATACACACATAAATATTTAAATAGAATACTTCTCCAAAACTATTTCAGTGATAAGAAAAAATATCTATTTTATAAAATGATTATGCAACTTGAAATATTTTTCTGAGAAGAGAGAATATCTTGTACTTTTGGCCAATATAAAAAATTATTGGCATGGGCATTAATAAGAATATGTTAATGATGCTAGGTAAATAGGAAATAGTGATTTTTTTGACAATAAACATGTTTTTCGATTCCATGGCTGTCTTAATAAAGATATAATATTTTGGGGTCTAATATTTGTTCATTTTTTATATACCTTACTATATTATTAATATATCTATAATTTATATAAGAAGATAATGTTTCACATGAAATAATAGAATTTCTTCAAATTCTACAAATCAAATACATCGTATGAGATTGTATGTATTAAATCGTCATTTAAGAATTATATTTCTATTTTATAATAATCGTTATCGATTATTAATTTAAAGTGAAATAAAGTTTTTTCAAAATGTTTCAGATTCAAAAGGATGATGGATTACCACAGATAGTATGTGTGCGATGCTTAGGAACTTTGGAATTTTTATGCGATTTTTATGACCTTTGTCATCATACTCAAAAAAAGCTAACTAATGTAAGATATTTAATTTATTTATTATTATGAGTTATATTAAAAGGTAAAAAAATTATTTTTTTACGGTTTATTTATTTATTTATTTTTTTTTTTTTTTTTTAGAAAATTGAAACTGTAAAAGATGTAATCGACGTAGTGCACATGGAAAACGATGCCGAATTTGATAAAGAAAATGCTTTTCCTTCTCCTAGAAAATGTCATCAATCAAGTAGTTATAAAAATCGTTCAAAAAGTGAATTAGATCAATCCAATGTTTGTTCAATTGAAAATTTGAACAGTTTTGTTACCGTCAAACAATCAAATATAAAAGAGACTGAACTAAACGAGAAAAGAAATTGCAGTAACGTTACAAAATTAGAGAAAAGTTTTTCTTCAAAAGAAGAGCCATTTATTAAAATTTCTCAAATATCTTCAATAAATGTTAAAATAGATAAAAGTAAACTAAGTAATCAGTCTGAAAAAAAAAATAGAACGAGAAAAGCAACATTAAGAGAAACAAGAAGTGAAGATAATCAGACCCATTCTTCTCTAATTAAAAAAACAAGACGTAAAAGTTCTGTTCATAAATCCTTAATTGATTCCTTTAATCTTAAAAGACTCAACAATGTAAAAGAATCAAGAGTAATACTGTCTCATGATGATACAAATACGACCAAAGCTGATATTCTGTCCATATCTAATACTAAAGACTCTTCCAAAGAATTCTCTATTAATGAGAATCAATCTATTGCTCATTCAAATAAAACAGAAGAAGTATTGTCCAATAAAATCCATGACAATAATAAAAATAATGTGGATAATAACAATATGCATGAAAAGAAAAAAAATAATTTATCTAAAAAAGTGAAGTGCCATTCTAATGAAAATAATATAAAAAATGAAAATTCTGATCATGTTATACCACATAAAGTACAAGTTTTACAATCAAATCAATTTGTGTGGGCTTCCAATGACACATTATTACAGGAACCATATAAGCCAAAATCTGAGAAAGATGAAACTGTATTGAATACAAGTCCTCCACCTGGAGATGAAGCAGAATCAAATCAACAAGTCGATGCAAATTCAATAGTGAATCATATTCACATATCCGAAGTTGTTCCCATTTCTAAATCTATAAGAAATAAATGTCTTGCAGAACAAGTTCAAACAGAAGTTTCAAACTCTTCATTAGATGTACCTAATGAAGTAAAATTATCGAGAAAGAAGATACAACACAATTGCGAAAAAGATATTACTCCCGGAACATCTCAACAATTAGAGTTTAAGAATAATTTAAATGAACGACTCAGAAGAAATGGAAAATTTGGTAAAATTTCCGAATTAATAAGTCACGAGCAAAAAGTAGAAATTGAAAAATACTATAAGATAGATATGTCAGTTGTTGATTCAAGCATTGTCGAAAAAAATCTAACAATCACTGATAAAAGAACTATTCAGTGTAATATTTGTGGATTAATGTACCCTAGATTGGACAAATGTCAGGTATACATATAACTTAAATTTTATAATATTATAAACGAAAGAAATTATTATTTCGTTTATTTTTTTCTTTATAATATTATACATATAAAATTAAATCAAAATATTTAAATATACATATGAATTGTACTTTTAGGTTCATGTTTGGGCTCATTTGAAAATGAGACCATATAAATGTACAGCTTGTGAATTTTCAACGGTAACTATAAGCAATGTACGCTGTCACATTAGAAAACGTCATTTAAAAATAAAACCTTTTGCGTGTCATCTCTGTGAAAAACGATATGTCACTGCGGTCCTTTTAGAAGAACACTTGAATACTCATACAGGTGCTCGACCATTCAAATGTAAGATCTGTGATTTTGCCAGTTGTAGTCGTCAAGTATTGAGTTATCATAACACGACACATAAGCCAGTAAAGGTAACGTAACAAAAAAAAAATTAATAAAATATACTAAAACTTGATTAGAGTATTATGTCAAAGTAACACTTTTAAAACAAAATTTGTGATACTAACACTGTAGTCAACATGATAATACTAATTGCTGTAATCGAGTTTTATTGTATATGATAAAATTGCATTATTTATATATATGTATATATTTTGTTTACTAATTTTCTTATTATCAAACAGGACATACATTGCAATGTTTGTGGAAAAGAATTTTATTCAAGAGGGAGAATGCGAGCTCATATGCTTATTCATAATAAAGATAAAGTTGTGATGTGTAAGCTTTGTTCTGCTTATTTATCTAATGAAACAGCATTAGAACAGCATATGAAAAATATTCATACACGTGATTATATATGCAATATTTGTGGGAAAATTTTAAAATCCAGAAAAACATTGTTGAATCATAAAAATGTAAATTTCTTTTACATAAAAATGTTTACTTTATTGTGTGTGTGTGTATATATATATATATATACACATATGTATTGTGTGTGTGTGTGTGTGGTTTTTACGATTTTTTTATTCTTTCATACTTTTTGTTTTCTTTTTAAATATTTTTTATTTTTATTTTTTACAGGTCCACGCAGCTGCTAAATATAAATGTGATTTATGCCCTAATGTATATAAAAGCAGTCATATATTAAAAGAACATCTTTTAAAACATGAAGGTATTAGAAAGTACAAATGTAATAATTGCGAAAAATCTTTTGCCCAACAATCGCACCTTGCTGCACATATGGCAGTACATAGTGAAATAAGGTGAATATAATGTCATAAAGGAAATTATTATTTTTTTTTTTTTTTTTTTTTTTTTTTTTTTTTTCTTTAACAAATCCCAACACTATGTGCGATAATTATATTTTAATTATTATTTATTTTAGATACCATTGTCCTGGTTGTAACAAGGCTTTCAATCGTCGAGATAATATGAAAATACATACCAAGCGTTGTAAAAGCTTTTTAGCCAATCCTGAATTAAAAGATCTTTTAAAGAACAAGGGAAGGACTAAATATATAAGAAAGATCAATGATCACGTTACTCTTGACACATCTATGAATACAAATAAGGAAACATTTACGAATACAGATAAAGAAACATCTAGGAATACAGATAACGAGAGTAATAAATTATTAATCTTGAAATATGAAGAGACTGCTAATAATGTGATACCCAAAGATATTAATAAGGAAAACGATAGCAATAATCAACAGAATATTAGTCAATATGTATATAATGAAAATGTACAAAGTAATGAAACAATCAGAAGTTTGGAAAAAATGATCGAATTATCTGGATCATCGACTGAGAATACATACGATATTATACCAGAAAATAGTACAGTGATCCAAAATGTCCTGCACTCTGATTGTTTTTAATTTCTTAATTATTTTTATAATTTTTCAAAAAATGTTTCAGTTTATGTAAAAATTATATTACAGGTATTAATATAATCGTTAATAAGTACAAACGAGAAACGTGAGACTGTGTATGTGCGTATGTGTGAAACTAAAATAATATTCTAAAGAGAAAATACACTGAATTTTCTTTGTTATTACAAAGTAAATAAAATTATCAAAAATAGTAAATAATCATTTTTATATATATACATAAAAAAAAAAAAAAAAAAAAAAAAAAAAAAAAAAAAAAAAATAATAATAATAATCAATAAAAAAAAGAGAAAGAAAACAATAAATTATGTTGTATTAATATTTTCTTTTTTGCAGTATTACAATATAGTTTCACATTATTATTAATTATTATATATATCGATATTTCTGTAATCATATTTTTGCATGTTCTGTTATAAACGAAGTATTAATATATAGAATATATATATGGGAATGAGCACCTCCATTTTAAACAAACAGACATTAATACTGGAGTATTAATGGAGGGCCTAATTTTTGTTACGAATCCCACATATATATATATATATATATATCATACATAAAAAAGAAAAAATATTTTATTTAATCTTTCTTATCTGTATGTGTGCGTGTATATATGTAAACAATATAACTTTTCTAAACAAATGCCACATTAAAAGTTCACAGCTTTGATAAGAATTATTTTATAAAAAAGACCAAAGAATATTCTTTGATATATTACATGGAACACGTATTATATTTGTGACAAGCTGTTAACAAAGAGTGTTTACGCTTATTATAATTACAACACGATAAGACTGATTTATACTGATTTGTAAATGAATTTACAAAAAAAAATATAAAGTTCCTATGTAAACTATTAGACTTGAATAAAAATAATATAATAGTATTAATATAATAATGAATACATAACAGTGTTGTATTAATACATTGACTGCAGTTATGCGAATAGATCATTGTTACGCGCGCGCGTTATATGTACATTATAATATATAATGTATGCATATATATGTACACATATATATATATATATGCAACATTATATGTATATATATATGTATATATGTATATATACAACGATATAATATACGATTGTCAATATTTTATTAACGAAAAAAAAGAGATTTTAATAAACATGCATTTAATCTAATATCGATCTCTCTTTAATTAATTATTGTATGGATAAATATTTTTACATTTTTTTTGTATATTGCTGCATACTTTTAATGGTATTGTGACATAGGTAGAGAAAGCCGTTAGTTATTATGGAGAAAGTAGTATAATGGTCGGCCTAAATTCTTACTGAGTTTTTATCTCTAAGTCAATAAAACCTGTTAACAAATAGTTATATATCCAGTATATCGGATGAACTTCCAGTGAATGGATGCTCCCGTGACTCTATTTATTTGTTGATTTATTCAAATTTTATTAACGTATATCTTTAGTCAGAGAATATAGCAGTGTAAATAGAATTATACATCAACGAATATATATTAAATTGTGTGTGTAATTCATTCGTATATATATATATATTTTTTTTTTTAATATAAATAATTTTTATAGATAAATACAGTTAAAGAGCATAAGTGTTCGTTTTTTTCGTAAATTCAATTTTGAATGAAGAAGATATAGCAATATAGTTACGATGAATAGATTAACACTACCCGTATATGAATTTTTAAATGAAGAAAAAACGAAAGAATTATTAAAAGTATTCAAGGGTGAGAGAACTGGTTGGGTAATGGTTGGACCGAAAAAATATATTTTTCCATCTAACTACACAAAACAAGGAGAAGGATTTTATAATTTCAAAGCAAAATCCACTGATATCTGGGTAATGTCCTATCCAAGATCAGGTAAATATTTATATAAATTTCTTTCTTTCTAGATTTTTTTTTTTTTATATATGTCACTTTAAATTATATGGGATATTAGATAAATATATTACGTAATATAAATATCTTATTTTTTATCTACCTATTTTTTGTCTTTTATCTTATTTTTCTAATACTGATCATTTTTCTTCTATTGATAGGAACCACATTGACTCAAGAACTTGTTTGGATGTTGTCCAATAATTTGGATTATGATACAGCAAAAACTAAATATCTTACAGAAAAATTTCCATTTTTGGAGTAAGGATAAATGTACCTTTTAATTAAATAAGAAAAAAGACTCTGAAATATTTTTCCTATTAAAATTTTACACACACACATATACACATAAGGACATACGTAATACGCACAGAATTATATATATATATATATATATATATATATATATATATATATATATAAAAACTTTGTATTTTAGATTTTCTTTATTTAATCACCCTGAAGTAACACAGGAATTTATAGAAATGAATAAAGGTGATTCAAGTAAAGAGAAATTATGCAGATCAATTGCAAGACCTGGATATGAAGTTTTGGAAGAAATGTCTTCACCCAGATTTATTAAGACACATTTTCCATTTAGTCTATTACCTAATATTTTGGAATCTGGTTGTAAAGTAAGAAAGTATTCAATTGTTTTATTTTTTAAAATTCTATTTGAACATTTTTATATGAAGCGTATCCAAAAATGATTATCCTGCTTATGATATATTATAATTATTTATCTGATACTTGCAATGAAACACAAACTTATGCATTGGTCCATAAATAAAGTTTCTAATCATAAAGAAAAAAAGTTAATAAACTTTAACATATTATTATATTATGAACTGTTAAAATCAGAATAATCATTTATGAATACCCCCATATTTCTATCATATAATTAGAATTTTATATTACAATTTTTTTTAGATAGTTTATATTGCAAGAAATCCTAAGGATGTAGGCGTTTCATGGTATAATTTGTGTAAGGATATAAAAACAATGGGTTATGTAGGTACATTCGAACAATTTTGGAATTACTTTCAAAATAATTTAAGTAGGTATTATTTATATAAATATTATCTTTGTGATTAATTGATATAATATAATGATGAATTTTTTTATATTTTTAGCTCCATGGAATCCATATTGGGAACATTTAAAAGAGGCTTGGGCACTTAAAGAACATCCTAATGTTTTGTTTATATTTTATGAAGAAATACAAGCAGTATGTATATGATATTGTAAAAATATTTACTCTCTATTATTTTACTATGTAATATAATCTAAACTGTGTTCAAATACTTTATATATATATAATATATATATATATATATATATATATATATATATATTTATACATATGTATTTATCATTTTCTTTCTAGAATTTCCTGCAAACTACTAAAAAAATTGCAACATTCTTAGGAAAAGTATATAGTGACGAACAATTAAATAAACTTGCAACATATTTGGATATAAAGAATTTTCGTAATAATGAAATGGTAAATTATTCAGAATTAAAAGAATGCAATATCATGGAAAAAAAAACGTTTGTTAGACAAGGGCAAAGTGGTGGTTGGAAGGATTTCTTTACACCAACATTAGAAATTGAAGCTAATCAATGGATTGCAGAAAATTTAAAGAATACTGATATGAGATTCCCAAATTTTAACAACTTAGATTTCGAATTAATAAAATAAAATTGATGAAATAATTTACAGGATTTCCAATCGTATTTGTGTAACAAGTTGTGTAACAAATACTTTTTATTGAACATTCAACATTCTGCCATATAACTAATTATTATAAGAATTCTTGAAAATTTATGTTCATTTAAAAAATCTTATTTTACTATATTTATTCAGCACCACTGTCATTATATTAAAACAAAACAAAACAAAAAAAAATAAAGAAAAATAAAGAAAAAGAAAAAAAAATGAAATTGTGTACATTATATTTTTAATTATACAGAGAAATTTGTTTTATTTAAAAATACTGATAATATGTATTTTAATATTATTTTCTTAAAAATCATCTTAATGCATCATATGGAATGTAAATTATTGTAATATAAACGTTAACGAAACAAAATTTCAAAGCATTAAAAGCAAATTTCTTTCTTGATTTTTTTTTTTTTCTTTTCTTTTTAAAGTAGCTATTAAGTGACATACGTACAACGCATATCGAATAAAATAAATTATAAAGTTTATTGATATACCTGCAAAAAATTGGGTCATAGTAAAAATACTATCATTAACAATCCATGTCTCGGCACTTTTCTGCTTTAGCAACAGCTGGTGGTATTGTTTCGGTTGTTTTAGATGCTATGCATGGTCCAAGTAATTCTGGGCAAGAAACTTCATTGGATACGATACTATCTATCTTTTTCATTAAGTCGTAGTTGATACGTTGTGTTATGACAGAATCATGTCTGTATCATAGATATAGATTGTAGATTAATATATTATATACTCTTATACGAAGTGCTAATAATATTATTACTTCGAGTAAGAATAAAAAAAAAAAAAACAAAATAACTAACTTGTATTCTGGATGTGAGATTACTTCTTTTCTAAGCCATGCAGCTGTTGTTAGGAGTTCACCAGATGCACGTCTTTGAATTAATTTCATGTATCTTTGTACTGTACAATGTGTATCTGCATCCACATCCATATTAGCAAGATAAGAATTAACCAATGGTATTAATCCAGGAAAAACGCCATTCTGTAAATATACATATATATTTTTATATATGTTCCATATTATAAACTTAATTACTTCATCGAATTAGTACCTTGCCATTAATAATTTCATTAATGGTAAACTCATCATATTCCTCTTCTGTATTATCTTTGTTTACAGTATTTGATGTAATATCTTTACGAAACCAAAACTTTTCATTTTTAACAGCATTTCTTTTTTGTGCTTTAGCCATGTTTTGATCAACCTTACTAATTGGTATAAGTAAATTTAATTTGTAACTGAGTATAACTCTTGTTAAAAGTACAATAAAACAAACAATAGCTGCATTTTCGAAATCTGTAATTTGTACTTCACATGGCCGAAATTCAACTCGCCATCCTATAGAAGAATATGGAGGTGGTGGTTTGAATCGCATTGTTTGCCAATTGGTCGATTGAATATTCTGAAAAATTATTTATGTAATATTTATAAATAGAGAAGAATGAAAAATTCTTTCCAATTAACTAATATCGTTAAAATTACTTACTTCAAAATGATCAGTATCTTCCAAATCATTCTGATGTATTTTTTCAGAAAACAAAGATACAGAATCTCTGATAAATAAATGAGCTATATGTTGAGCAAGTAATCTATCAATTCCATTATCTAGTAATTGCTTGTATATTTCAGCGTCATATATCAGTGGAACATCATTATATTTATCTCCTTGTTCACTGAGGTATGAATCAATGGAATCATATCTAGATTTGTGAATTCTGAATTGATTTTCTTCCAAAGGTTTCAATCCACGTTCTTCTTGCGTTCTACAGTCGACTGAGCAGGAAATTACATTCCATCGACAATCAACATCTGTCACATATCCACGATAAAATGGGCTAGCAGCAGTTAAAGCCAACTGTCGAATGTTAAACAAATGTCTGTAACGTATGCACGAACAAGTATTCTAACTCAACATTCCTTTATTTGAAAATATATGATTTATTAAATTTAACTCACTAACCATGATTGGACACAATGGTGTAAGTTGATCATACAATGTTCGACCTTCATCTATATTACAAGCTTGAAAAGTAAGTTGTAAACAACAACATCCCATTCCAAAACCCATAGCATCCATATAAACATGATCTATTTTCGCAGCTTTACCACTGGATCCATCATCTCCTTGACTTATCAGATCTTCTTTAAACGGAGAAGGAACATTTGTATCTTTGTAAACTACAAAGAAATACTTAATTAAATAATATTACATTTTCATGGCGGTTGATATAAAAAGTTCATATACGTATTGATATAATATTTATAAAAATACACACTAGGAATGTTTATAGCAACTTTCTCTCCACGACGTTCTCTAATATTTTTTGTCAATGTTTTAAAACGTGGGTGTCCTGGGTATATTGCTTCATCTGGAAAAAACAAGCTTCTGGAGGCTCCAGCACTTGGAGTAGGCACAACCGGAGGATCTGTAAAATCTGATGCTCCTAGCCTAAAGTATATACATTATATATATATATATATATATATATATATATATATATATATATATATACATATATATATACACATATATATATATGTATATATATATATGAACACTATATATTATTTTATTTATTATATCGTAGCACAATTGACAACTACATTTACTTGAATACCTTGGAAAATTGGTCAGTGACATTAGTACTTCTCCATGTTTTAATAATTTTGTTGCTTCCTGTCTACGATAACGCATGTTTGCTTCTACAACATTAAAATGTGCTAATAAACCTCCATATGGTTTCCCTGGTGTCCCTTCAATCATATATGCACCATATTCTGGTCGCCATAATGATTTAACATTTCTATTCGACAGAATAATTTATCATTAAATTCAAATTCTTTCAAATTGATAATTAAAAGAATATAATACTTACGATGGATCTTTCAGCTCTTTTTCATTTAAAACTTTTAATATTTCTTCGGCTCTTAAGCTAAGTTTTGCTGTTTTTGCTACATCATCAAATTTTACTAATAAGTATTCTACCTGTTTAAAATGATTCATTTATAAATTATAATTCTTTATAATGAAATTTAAAATAAGAATATCGATTAATAAAAATAATAGTATCAAATAAATATCGACTAAATTTATTTATATTTCAATAATCCGATGATTCTTATAACATTGAGCTTGTGACAAATATAATAAAAAATTATAGAATATTATTCAAGTCAAAATTATAATTATGACAAGTGTTTTTTTTTTCCAGCAATGTTATTTTATAAAATTATCTTGATTTATGATATCATTGTGTAACATCAATGTTCCATCATTTTGTGCAATCTTTATCATCTTATCTCTATTAGCTTATGCAAGAGAAAAGCTAAATGATAGTTAATTTTATTCCAATAACAGAGTAGAAAAATGATACAATTAAAAGAGTTCTCATGTGTCATCAATTTAATAACTATTTCTAATAGTAGAAATAAAATTTCAATAAAAATACATATAGTTGACATTCTTTTCGTTAAGTATTCTAATCGAGTAAGCACAAATGTATCATAACGATAAAAAGATAAAAATATTATGTCATTGTATGATTCTTTTTGAAGCATAACTTTAAATGAATGTTAATGAAAAAATAAGGAAAAAAAATAATGAAGAAGTAATACTCGAAGAATGACAAAGCGATAATGTTAACCACAATGTTTGAGTCGAGGAGAAAAAAAGTAGGAGACAAAGAATTGATTTTACGTACCTCATCACCCCATTTGAGTACATCACCTTGTCTATCTCTGAGTTTCTTATATATATTAATAAATTGTATGATCCCATGCTTGCGCACATGATCCGACAATTTTTTCGTTTCTTCCCAACTAAGTGGACTTCCCTCGGATAAAAGTCCCATTTCCTTTTAATCACTTGTGTTTCTCTTTCTTACAATAAGTAATTTGTTTTCAAAAGTTGCCACACTAAGAAATGTGAATCCTCGTGAAAAACGATATTTTCCGAGTAATACCGAGATCAACCGAATGTACCAACCAAACGTACTTACGATATGTTCTCCACCGTGACTATGGTTCACCGTTTCTGTTAAATTGCCTTTTATACGTATAACGCCATCTCTGTGCTAAGAATTATCTGTGTGTTATCTGGGTATATGTGTCGTGTGTGTGTGTGTGTGTGTGTGTAATTAAACTTCAACCAATTAAATTATTTAATTAATTATTTCTTTAATTTATTAAATTATCTAACTAATTATTTCTTTAATTTATATAAATAATAATAAAAAAAATATAAATACAAATTAGAAGATCCAAATGAAAAATGTCAAAGTTTATGTTATGTTTCTATGTTTAATGAATTACACACGCGCTCACTCAAGCACATCGAAGGTATCATTAATTATTAAAGCGTCTAATGACGACAACATCAAAATGCTATATTTCAGTTTTCTTCGAATAAACTTTTTTTGTCGACACACACGACGTTACCTGGAACGAAGGCATTAATAATATAGTAAACTCAAAGTAATCATTAGATGGCGTGGAAGATGCGCGTTAATCGAAGTATTAATCTGAAGATAAATTCGCAATCTTTTTTATCGATAGTGCTTACAGTGAAAAATTGATACATTATCGAATTTAATGTATAGATGTCGCGAACTGTGTATTCAAACGAATTATACTATATATATTACAAATCTCTTCGTATGCATTCATACACGATAATGGTGCATATATATATATGGTGTATGTACATGTATATATATCGTAATAAATAAATCATAATAAATAAAAATAAATAAAAATAAACAATTATATTAGTATATAATAAATGTAAAAAATGAACAAATTTCTAATATGAGTCCAATATATTGGTTATAAATTTGAAAAAATTATAATTATAAAATAGAAAGAAATATTCAAATATATACATATATATATATATATATATATACACACACACATTATATATATATATATCAGACTGTTGTTTTACTACAATAAGAAATTGTAACGATTCAA